GTGGAAAACTCTTCCTGCCGCTTCCTAGCTGGGGGCCTATATCACCTCCCTCCGCCATGGAGAACTCTTCCTGCCGCTTCCCAGCTGGGGGTCTATCACCTCCCTCCGCCGTGGTCTCCTTACTGTTAGGAGGCCTGCTGCCTGCAACGGTGGCCCGCCTGCTTAAATTAATGCACTGGTCACAGGGTGCCCATTGCGGCCCCAGCAGGATGGAGGAGGCTCCCCTCGATCCTACTCTCTTGTCATTGTGGCAGAGGAATTTGAGCTCAGGACTTACTTCTTTGCCACTGTCCTAGACCCCATTTGCTCTTTCGGACCCGCAGGTCATGCAGGAAGCAGGTCTGTGAGTGCTTGGATCCACGTGGCTCTGACCCTCCCAGCACAGAGAGCCTCAGAGGGTCGCAGTGTGGGCCACCACAGGCCAAGCAGTGTCCACCCTTGACCCTCAGATGGCAGACCACCCCCCCAGCTCTGGCCAGAGCTGCAGGCCATACCAGAGGCCTACGCCCTGGGCGGGCACCCTGGGCGGGCACACAGGGCTGCCATTGTCTGCTCAGCGCCTGGCACCCTCTCGTTTGCATAGCCACGTGAAGAATGCGAGGGAGCAGGCTGGGGACTTGTCCCTTCAGAGGGGGGTTGGGCTGTAGGGGAGGAAGCCAGCAGGGGTCTGCAGCAGGACCCTGCCTTCCCGCAAGGTAGTCCAGGAAAGGTGGGTGGGCTACTGGGGACAGAGGGGGCGGCCGGGGGCTGGCAGGAGTGGGAGCAGGGTTGTGACATTCCTCCTGCACCCACGCAGCAGTGGGGCCCAATTGAACGTGAGGGGATTGCTAATGAGGTGGAAGAGAGTTAAACATTCCCCTACTCCTGAGGACCGAGAGACTGGGAGAGAGAAGAGGGAGGTGGGGGTGCTCGGAGGGGGCAGCCTGAACCCCAGGAATGCAGAGGCCACTGCTCTGCACCAGGCTGCTCTAGAGCTGGGGGCCAGGGCCCAGTGTTCCAGTCCCAGCGGGAGCTACTAAGCCAGGCAGCAAGGGGATTAAGGGGCTGAGCAATCCGCCTTCCTTCAGGCTGATGCCAGAAGGTCGGGGCTGTCTCCCCAGCTCCCCAGCAGGCCCCTTGCTGGCCGGCAGCCAGCGCTGGCCCAGCCTTGATAGGGCCCCTTTTCTGTCCCCCTCAGATCTCAAAAAGACCCCACAGTACTTATTTCCTGGTCTGGCCTCCCTGATTTTTGGCACACACAGCTCCCAGGTACCCATGACCCCTCTTCCCAACACCCCACCCCTAGCTCAGCCTCCCCACATCCAGCTTCAGAGCCCCTGCCAAAAAGTTATCCGTGACGTCTAACTCTAGTTTTACCTGCTGCAAACTGGCATCCCTTTCCCTTCTGTCCTAAAGTCAAAGGGCAGAAAACCCCAAGAGTTACATCAGCCTTGCAAGAGCGAAGCCCATCCTCCCAGGGCTGGTGTTTGGGTGAGCGATTATCTGAATTTTAGGGCACCCAAATCAGGTTCCTAAAGGGGTTTCCCTGGGGGGAAAGGCCCTGAGGGCAGCTGGGTCATTCCTCTCAGCCCCTCCCTTCCCTATCCCTGGGGAATCGGGCGGGGCAGGGACACCACCTGGGCCATGGGCCGGCCCTCCGCCCCCAGGGGGCTGGGCATGAGCTTTGCTGGGGACCCTGCTCTGGCTTAGGCGGCTGCTGTGGGCGGGCCCTGGCCTTTTCCAGCCCCTGGGCCTCCCCCTGCATTCTGGAGTCCAGAGCCACTGCCTTTGCTCCAGCCGCTGCCGCCCCACCACCTCTCCTTCTCTGCTTCTGACCCTCCTTCTCACTGCTCCCCCTGCCCAGTTGCTCCTCCCACCTGGCCATGACCACAGCCCCTGCTGGGACCCTGGCCCAGCTCTGAGTCCCGGGACCCTTGGTCCCCTCCCCCAGGCCATGGCCAACTCAGGCCTCCAGCTCCTGGGCTACTTCTTGGCCCTGGGTGGCTGGGTGGGCATCATTGCTAGCACAGCCCTGCCGCAGTGGAAGCAGTCTTCCTACGCAGGCGACGCCATCATCACCGCCGTGGGCCTCTATGAAGGGCTCTGGATGTCCTGCGCCTCCCAGAGCACCGGGCAAGTGCAGTGCAAGCTCTACGACTCGCTGCTCGCCCTGGACGGTAGGCCTGAGGCCGGCGGGGTGGGAGGTGGGAGGTGGGA